CAAGACACCGCTGCATGTTGTTAGCGGGCGCGCTGCACAAGCACGCCAGAACTAGCACTTCTTCGGGTAACCCGTCCGTTGTTCACATCAGCACACAGTGCAGAGAGGAAGGAATGTTTGCAAACGGAAAAACCACAAGGCAGGTGTTGTTGGCAAACAAGACAAATCCACATGAGAAGGCAAATTAGGAAGGACTCAACACAAAACAGAAACTCACTGACTCTCAACATCTCCAAGGCCGATGATGTCGTGGATGAGGGGGAGGAGCAAGTGCAGACATCCACGACATCGTCCATGCTCCAGCTTCCCAGTGCACGTGACAGCAGCAACAGCACCACCGACGGTGAGCCGCCAACGGTTCACATCGACGAGGACCAGGACGAGGATGTCGAGACAGACTTCCTGCTCGCGGACTTTGACGACGACAGCAGCAGCGACAACAACGACGACACAACAGATGCAAGCGACACCGAGGCAGGCGCGTTCACAGCAAGCAGCAGTGACGACACCAGCCTCACGGAGCCTGCAACCATCAAGCAGGCACTCAAGAGCCAGCAACGCAAGCAGTGGACTCAGGCGTGCTTGGAGGAGATCGGAGCCATGGAGCGCAACGGCGTCATCAAGCTCATCCCACGCAGCGCCGTGCCACGGCAGCACACGCCTCTCAAGTCGCGCTTCGTCTTCAAGGTGAAGCGTGATGCTGAGGGCGCGCTGACGCGCTTCAAGGCACGCTGGGTCGCCAAGGGCTTCAGCCAGCGACCGGGCATCGACTTCCACCAGACCTACGCCCCAACACCAGCAGCCAAGACCATCCTCACTGTGCTCGCCGTCTCCCTGCAACGACAGCACCAGCTGCACCAGCTCGACTTCAAGTCGGCTTACCTGCAGGCTGATCTCAAGGAGGAGCTGTACATGGAGCTGCCGCCGCACTTCACCGACATCGGCGACGGCGCTCAACGCTACGCGGGCAAGGTGTGCCGGCTGCTCAAGCCGCTCTACGGCCTCAAGCAAGCTGGCCGTGCATGGGCCAAGAAGCTGCACACCTTCCTCAAGACCAACGGATGGGCGCAGAGCAACGTCGACGCTTGCCTCTTCACCAAGCTCCACGACGACGGACAGCGCACATGGATCATCACGTACGTCGACGACCTCATCATCAGCGGCAGCAGCGAGCGCCACATCCGTGCCTGCAAGCAGCAGATCAAGGAGAGCTTCGAGGCAGAGGACCTGGGCCCGCTCACCTGGTACCTGGGCCTTCACCTGACGTCACCAGCTGACGGGATGCTACACATTGCGCAGACACAGGCCATCAACGACATCGTCAACGACTACAACCTGGCAGCGGCAGCCAGCGTGTCCACGCCCATGCGTGTTGG